GGTGGTGCAGTATACTGATGCCCGGACCCTACCACCTCTGGACTAAATAAGATGCTTCATAGAAGCTTTCAGAGAGGTCCTAGAGTGTAGCCGTTAGTACTTGTTAATGGCCAGAGATCTGGAGTCTGTCAGCATGGATATGAAGTCTCCTCTGTTGCATAATGATGGTGCCAGGAACAGATGTGCAGCCTGTCAGAGCCCCCATTATTCATCTGTCTGATGGGTAGGCAATGCTCACTCCCAGGGTGTTGTGAGGGTAAGGAAATAGTAGATAGTAGGTGCTGCCTGCCCAGCAAGTGCTCCTTAAGTAATCCTGGGGAGGTCTGACTTTGTGTATCCTCACCAGGGGACACTGCAGGAAGCCATGTGTCTGGTCCATGGTAGATGCTGTAAAAGATATCTGTGAAAGTGTGTGTGACTGTTACCACGGCAGACAAAGCTGTGGTGAGAAATACCAGTTACTGAAATGATACAGATGCTCTCTAGTTTTTGATTGAGCATAAAACTACATTTCCCAATACCCTTTGCAGGTAAGGAGTTCTGGCCAATGCTAGCTAGGCTGAGGTCACTGGGTGTCCCGAGCTACCGTCTCACCAGCAAGAACGACGCGCACACTTAGGATCCTTCTGCAGAACAGCTTTAATGCGTCTTGAGAGGGAGAGCATAAGCTTACAGAGCGGAGACCCAGGGAGCGAAAAGCCCAACCCTTATATAGCTCAGCAGTCCCCGCCTCGGACGTGTCATCTCCTGACTGGCTCCTGCTCGTCAGCCCATATGACGCCACGGGAGAGGCAGAGAGTAAGGGATGGAAAAGTAGCAGGCACGTGCGCACCAAGGTTGTTTACTCCAACTGACAACGGATGTCGGCGCCATCTTGTAACGGAGAATGTGGGGGCGGCTCCCCACAACTGGGCCTTGGATTCTCTTCATTCCCCTGGCCCCAGCATCACTCTTGACATTTTGGTATTTGTAGACGTTAAATCCCATTTCATTTTGTTGACATGTGATGTGTTGTCAGGCAACATGACTCATTAGACATGGGGAATGTACATGTAACCAAATCTATCACCAGCTTGCCTCCTTCCATCACACAGTGTTTATTTCCTTCAGTAAAAATCCTAAAAAGTGGTGATGTATAAGTAAAAACAGTGACTTTTCCAGGTATGGAATGTGAGTTTAGCATTGCCATGTTTCTGTGAATTGGTCTTTCAAAACAATGAGTGACACACAGTACTACTGTCACCTACATGAAACTCACGTGTGACAAGATTTGGTATTTGATTTGATGTCTAATGTCAAAGCATATTTCAAGCCCATGGCTTTACAGCATTGGCTAATATCAAAGATTTTCGTGTCTCTGATCTGCTCTTTACATTTGGAGTTTTGCATTCACAGGAAACTTCACCCAGGAGCTTGCTACACTGGAGCTGCCTGTGGGTCTGAGTGCCAGAGCTGATCACACATGGCACTGGCAGGATCTCCAGCAAGGGCTTCGGTGTCCCAGGAGAGACTAAGAGCAAGATTCAGACCAGCAGAGAACAGTCTTCAAATGATTGGATGGGGCACATTTGTCACAGGATTTTATTATAGAACAATTACATTCTGGTGTATTTAGATTCTTGCCACTTTTTAACTTTAATGTGTGTGTGTGTGTGTGTGTGTGTGTGTGTGTGTGTGTGTGTTTTCATGTCTGTGAATATAGGCACCTATGTTTCATGATTTGTAGAGGTCAGAGTTCAACCTATTATGCTGGTCCAGACTTTCCACTTGGTTTAAGGTTGGGTTTCCAAGGTGTGGACCAGTCTAACTGCAGTGGAGATTCTGTGAATTCCCTTCCCTTCTACCCATGAAAACTCTGGGATAGAAGATGCTGTAGTCTGGTGTTATGTGGATATCTGAATTCAGGTCCTTGTTCTGCAGTGAAGCCTTTATCCTCTGAACTTCAAGGGGACTAGAGAGGATGCTGGGATAGCTGTACATTCTCTTATCATGAGGAAGCACACAAAACATACAAAGATGTCATTTGAACATTCTAGCCACACGACTGAGTGCTAGTGAGCATACACATATTGTTGTGTCCCATAACTGCACATATCTGCAGCATTTATTTCCCCCGAATTGAAATTCTGTCTGAGAATTGAACTCAGGATGTCTGGAAGGGCAGCCAGTGCTCTTAACCTCTGAGCCATTTCTCCAGCCCAGAAGAACTGATTCTTACAAGTCGTCCCCATGACAACCAAAGAAATGAAGAAAGGAAGACAGAATTAGTTACTGCACTAGATAAGATTCTAGCTTGTTGCTAAATGAGGTGTGTAAAGAAGGACAACATACTATACCCATGACCTTCAGAGAAGGTTTGGTAGAATTCATCAGAGAAATCATCTGGAGGTTGTTTTTATATTATTCATTCAATTTTTTCAGTGATATGATTCCATTATAGTATCTATTTCTCCTCTGGAAGTTTTTGTCTCTGAAGGAATTAATCACTTTCATCTAAGCCTTTAACACTCCAAGAAGCTTCTCTGCGCTCCATTTCATATTCCTAAAGTATTCATGCTATCAACAGTGGTGATCACTCTTTCATTTTTGGTTAAGTAAAGAACATTTGATTTGAGTTCTTTTAGAAAACAAGAATTGATACTCATTGATTTTTTTTTCTCTGTGGATATCCTATTTTCAGCTTTTAAATGATTTTCCTGTTCCTTTACATTAACCATTTGTTTTATAATTTACTCAGGTGAAGTTTAAATTACTGACATCAGATTTTTCTTCTTCCCAGGATACACACCCAGTGTCATGTATCTCCTACACTGTGGATCTTGTTTTTACTACAGACCACAAAGTTAACAAATTGATTCCATTGATCTTGTTTTTACTACAGACCACAAAGTTAACAAATTGATTCCATTTCATCCTCCTCCTCTTGTTTTCAGGGATAGAATTCAGAGTCTCACTATGTCCTTGCTAGACAAACACTTCATCACTGAGCTACATGCCTAGCCCCTTATTTCTATTTTAATTTGACTGAGATTAAAGGTGTACCCCCACTGCATCTGACTAATTTGACTTGTTTTAAACTCACATTTAGCTCTGACTTGCAGCTTGGAAGCTGCACAACTCACAACTTGGAAATCATGGGAAACAACCAATAACACCCAGAAACAAATGTTGCATGTGAAAATGGATTAAAGCAGGGCTCCTGTCACACACTGGGAGAGAACCCTTGAGCCTATGTTAATCTCACCTATCAAGAATAAAACCACTACCACAGTTTAAAGTCAAATTTGAAGCAAGCTTTAATTAGATACTGGCCAGGAGGATGGGCTCTAACCAAGTCCATACCCAGGTTCCTGGGAAATGTCCCAGAATCATAGTTTGTATCTGCTTAAGAAGAAAAACCCAGGCCGGGTGGTAGTGGTGGCACACGCCTTTAATTCCAACACTCGGGAGGCAGAGGCAAGCAGATTTCTGTGAGTTTGAGGCCAGCCTGGTCTACAAAACTACACAGAGAAATCCTGTCTCAAAAAACGAGGAGGAGAAGGAAGGGAGGAGGATGAGGAGGAGAAACATGCATTTCCCATAGGTCCAGGTTTAATCAGGGGAAAGTATACAATCCTGACATGCCTCCAGCCTGTGAACTTCCTGCCCACATGTGATCAAGCACATCTGGTGCAGATGGGTCAAACAAACTTGTTTATGGGAGTGAAAAAAGTGTGACTTATCTTCCATAAACAGTAGCCTCCAGCATTTCAAGAACTATCTGTCCTTGGACAAGGAGCTTGCAGATCAGAGGCATTTGGTTTCATGGGTCTCTTAGGCATAGTAATTAACACTTGAAATGGAACTTTGGCTCTCACACCTACTGGGAACTCACAGGAAGTACCAGGAGTCCCACAGGAAGAGAGGCATCACTCACCATAAAATAGATTTCAGTGGATTATAACTTGGGACCAATCATACAGAATGAGTGTGTGCCACAGGGAGTCAGGGTCTGTGTGTACATTCCATGTTTTTGTCCATCCATTCACTGATGGACAGCCACACTGAGCTCAGGACTTGACAAGTGCTGCAGATGTCTATGCAGGCATTTCTATTCCCTCGGGAGTGACAGTCCTTGGTAGGGCTATAAAAGGAGACAGATCTGCAGGTAAGGTTTTCAGGAGAAGCTGCTAACCCTACCCACTACACCCCACCCCATGCATGTCCCCCACCCAGAGGATGGCTTCTGTGTAGTCCTATGAGGAAACTTTCTTCTTGAGGTACTTTTTCTTTTAATTTTGAGATCTATATAATTAGTTCATTTGTGTCATGAGAAATACTAGTTTCAGTTTTCTGTTTGTTTCTTAACAAAACTTCTCTTAACTAGCTAGACCGAACAATACTCATTATCCTTATTATTACTGATTTGAAATACCATGTGTTATAGTATACATATTAGGGAAATTATGTTTTAATTTCACAATAATATATTGCTTTCCTCTTTTATCTTTAGAGATAAAATAGGACAATTGCTAAGTATCTTAAAGATCTTCAGGAATTTTAAACAATATTAAATGCTTGAGGAGGGAGTGGAGTTCATGATGAATACCTGCTCTCATGGTGGACACTCAACCACAAAGCATATGTCAGTGTCTACCCAGGAAAAACTCTATCCAAAGTTTACTATCAAAATTAGAATGACATTGGCTCTTAAACAAACTAAAAGATGTAATATAAATGTAAATTCAGTTAATGTTTTTGAGTTCATTTGTATGGCTGATTCAGTAGAATTGTGTATTTTCAGTATATGTATACAGCACACACACACACATACACACACACACACACACCCTACCATTGAAACTGAAATCATGTCTATGAGTCCATCCAATCCATTGAGAGTCAATGCTGGGGAGGGCTAGAATTCGTCACTAGTAGGGAATCCTTCCACTTGAATTCACTAACAATTGTACAAGTTTTACAATGCAGTTGACACAAGAGGAAGTAGTAGTTGGCAGTACTTTGGGTAACACATGGCACTCTTTAATGCACATAGAAGGCCCAGGAACGCATACACACCCAAGCCATGGCTGGGAAAACGTGAGGCAGATTATACAAATGGTGGTAAAAATCTTTTCCAGCAATGACAGACTATGGACACCCCCAAGGAGGGTCTCACCCTCCCTGGGGAAATGAGGGGATATTGGGGGGAGGTCAAGGGAGGGCACAGGAGGAGAGGAGGGAAACGGAGAGGGACCTGGAACTGACTTGTGAAGCAACCTTGTTTCTAATCTAAATTTAAATTTAAAAATAAAAGAAAAAGTAAAAAAAAAAGAAAAGAAAAAATCTCTTCCAGTGTTTTTCAGGCATTTACTATGTTATGTGGTTCCTTGCTTCAAAGATGAGAAAAACCAACAGAATGTGTTATTGATATCTCAGGCCCCAGCCATCTTCCACATCCTCGGGTTCTTTCTTGAACACAGGCCAAGTCCAGCTGACATGCTTATACTGACTGGGCTGAGACAAATTCTCAACTTGGTTTCCATCTCTGTACGTTACTGGTCAACGCTTTTTCCCTACGTTTACTGGACATTTGAATCCCATCTCTTGAAAACTGTACTCTCAAATCTGTAGCCCATCGCATGACTTCTAGCTATTCATTTTATGAGTTTCTGTATATTCTAGACATTAATCCTGTCACGTTCAGCTAGCGGGGTTCTGTAGTGTCTTGTTCCACCACACTCCAAAATCGCCCTCCCAGCCTCTAATGACTTCCAGCCCTCAGTCTCTTCCTTCAGACTGTGCAGGAGGCCCCAATGCACAACTCCGGGAACCAGAGACACGCGAAAGGATACAAATCTCCAACTAGAGTTCCTAGTCAGAAGTAACGCCCCTTCCGGCAAGTGTGGCGTGTGCGCAGTGGAGAGAGCCGCGGGTCTAGCTGGGTGGAGCTTCGAGTGCTGCAGCAGCGATGGCGCAGTATGAAGGCGCCATCAGGAGCGCGGGCCAGTGACGTCATCAGGGCGCGTCCCAGTCTGGCCCTAGTCCCTTAGTAACGCCTTCGGACTCGCCACGCTTGCTTTTTAGACCCTTCCTGCGGCTTTGCCCACTGGGATGCTTCACCGCAATCTGCCTAAGATCCGGAGACGTGAAACGGCCTAGAAATGAATATGTGTGGAAAGTAACTTCCAAGCACCTCACATCGTGGAGCTAGGTATCAAACGGAAAGCTCGCAGGCTTCAGAAACAGGCTCCCCGAGTTCATCTTCCTTCCGGTACCGGAGGCTTGGTTCCAGGTCCTCTTCGGTTTCCTTAGCAACAGCACGTGGTGGGACTCACATATACACTGACAGGTCTAGTCCTTGCTGCTTGTTAACAATGCCGAGGCTCTCCGCAGATTCGTGGTCAGCTCTTCCGTTTTCTCACAGTGCTTAGGGCTCCGTCACCCAAAGGTGCTGTGAGACGTCTGGGAAGACTGTGGGAGTGTACTACGATGGAAAACCGTCAGTCACTGTGTCAGTGCAGATAAGAGCTCCCGGATCTCCACAGCTGTGCCCTGCAGCAGCTATTTCTCGTCAGGCAGGAGAGGTGAAACTGTCCGGCCTGGGGGTGTGGCGCGGGGAGCAGGCCCATGGGATACCAGACCAACTTGAGTTCACACCCTGGGTAGGCAGTCCTTCCACACCTCTCTGCGCTATCTTTCGTATCCCGTGAAGTGTGCTTTGTCTATCACATCCCGTTCACCTCAGGAAGCCGCCGAAAGGGTCAGGGAGGCCCTGGAACACGAAGCCACTCTTTCGATGATGAGATTCTGCATCAGTGCTGGTCCACACTCATGGCCTGGAGAATGATGTGGCTTCCACTCTGTGCCAAGCTGCGGTCAACTGTAAAAAGTGGCATGTGCCTATGACCTGTGGCCTCCAGCCACCCCTTCTTTTACTGGTATAAAGATGTGGTCTTGGGCCCATGACTGTTGAGCAAGGACAGCTCACAGTCTGTCAGACTCTGGAGCCCTATCTCTGCCTGAGCCTTCTTGTTACATAGGGAGCATCTGGGTGCCCCACTGCCTCTGGATGTCCATCCATAATCCCTCTTTGCAAACTCCTCACAGTCACACCTGGGTTCACACTTCAGGTTTCTGTCAAGGATTCTAGCTCCCTTGTGGCTGGGCTTGTGACGAAGTAGAACATTGCGGTACGGTAATCCAAGTGCCTCATCTTAAGGTGGCCAGGAAGCAGAGACCAGGAACAGGAAGGGACCCGGATCAAAACACACCCACACAAGTCATACCCTGTTGACTTACTTCCAGCTCGTAGACCTACCTTTAATAATCCTGCCACTTACCAATAACCATTTGAAATATCACCCTTAACAGGTGTGTCTAGCCTGTGACCCAGGCTCCACAGGAACTCTGACTGTATTCCAACACATGTTTATGCAGCCTATTACAATGTCAAAATGTGGTCACCCCTGGAAAGTACAGATTATACCAGACACAGGTTTCTAAAGTTCCTGACATCTCTCAGTCCTCATGCCCCTAGCAGTAATTCAGACCATCAGGAGGTCCTGAGTTCAAGAGCAGCCTGGGCAAGAGTGAAACACAGTTTCAAAACAAAAACAAACAAACAAAAAACCCTCAAGGGCTGGGGATATAACCTAGAGTAGAGTTATGCCTCCCATAGGCCAGGCCCTGGCTTCAATCCCGTGTCACACATAGCACCCCACCCCTCCCACACACACACACACACGTAGGGGAGAGTGAGTGTAACGATTACAGATACAGAGACGGTCTTAGGAGGAGGAGCAGAAGATAGAGGAATCAACCACAAGCTATGGAGACTCACATAGCCATTGAGAGGCAATGCAGGCACTCACTAGGGACACTCAGACCATTCCCCCATGTGTCTGAGTTTCTGTGCCTCAGCCTGTGCGGGCTCCCTCCACATTGTTGGGGAGATGGGTGTTCACAAGTTCATTTTCCCAGTCTGTGATCATCATGAATTCGGTCCCTGCTCAGCACCAGGCCCTGAAATGTAAAACATGGACCCTGAAGATCCAGCTCATCAGAGATCACCACCTGTCTGAAGCCCTTCTCATCCCCCAGCCCTCTCCAGCCTCACCTGGCAGTGATGTAATATATCCATGACCTCCACACCTTGTGTGGGAAGATACTGGGCCAGAAACAGGAAGAGAAAATGGGACAGAAGGGGGACTGAAGAAAGGAATGTCAGAGCAGATCACCTTAGTGTTAAGTCACCAATGTCAGATATTATTCCCCAAATGACACACCCTCTCCAGAGCCTACTTCCTTTGGACTTTCCCCAGGAGCCTGAGAGCAGATAACACCACAGCCTCACTGAGGCCATGTTTGATTTTTATTCCAACTTTACTTTTTCAGAACCTTAGCAGATATTCTACAACTAGAGCTGTTAGTATGGCAATCACATCAAGGACAGGAATCTACCTGTGACCTGTGAGCAATGGCAGGGACACAGGGTGGGAAGAGAGGACACCACTCAGGTCTAGAGGAAGCAGGCTATGGGACACAGACACAGCTATGGGACACAAAGACACAGATCGAGGCAGAGAGGCCTGAGGAGGCTCGGGAGGGACCAGAGGAGGCTGGGAGACTCCACACCAGGATGAACCCATCCATCTCTCCTCTTCTTCCGCTGCATGTTGCAAATAGGTCAAGAACAGAGAAGCAGGAAGCTAGATGGTCAGGGAGCAGCATCAGGAGAGGGGATACAGCACTTCAGTGCCCAGATGACGCTTTCCCAAGCTTTGTGTGACATTGGTTTCAAGGACTGACACGTGCACCCCACTCTGTGGACAGGACGGGGGGGGCTGTCTTGGAGATATAACCCACAGTGCTGTAGCTGGGGGCTTGAATTATTTTTGTGAACTCACCTTGATACACAGGGGCTAGCCTGACCTGTCATTATCTGGAGGTGACAGCCCTCTCATCTTTACTGAAGACCACCTCCCCAGCACAGACCTCCTCCCCAGCACAGACCTCCTCCCCGGCACAGACGGGGCAGGGCAGGGCAGGGCAGGGCAGGGCAGGGCAGGGCAGGTCTTAACTTTCCTTTCATCACACTTCTCCCCCTGCTCCAGCAGCGGTTTCTCCCCTCTGATGTCCACATATACTCCAAGGTCTACGTGAATAAATCCTGTGGACTCTTGAGGTGGCAAAAGGTTAAATTACACACCACATTCGGGCACACAATTGTGTCAGTTAAAAAGCACAGTGCAGATGAGGGCAATGTACAAATACACCTCAGTGCCTCACCTCCTAGCTTTGGGTGTTTCGCCATTCTTCCTTTTGATTGGAACCACTTTGTTCCTGGAGAGCCAGCCTTTCACCTGGACTGGCATGCAACAGCACAGCTTTGCTGCACAGTTCGCCACTCTCCTCATCACTCTCTTCCAGCCTGGGCAGTGTCTGCGGGTACAGGCTATCATCACACTGTCAGTCTGGTCATTGGACAAGGATACTGGTTCTGATGACAGATCCCCAGAGGATGAGCCGCTCGCTGTTGTATGAGCACCCTTGGTGGTCAGGGTCCACAGTTCCTCCCTAGGAAGTGAGTTGTTTTCTGGAGGTGTGTCCTGAGAGCCCACATGACTCTCAGGCTCAGCACCACAGCTACTCATGGCGTGGGTGCAGAGGGCATTAGCATCATCATGATGGCAGGCTGCCCTGAAATAGGAGATGGTCCTTTTCAGCAGAGAACACTGGGGAGCAATAGACATGGTGGCCCTCTTGTCTCCCTCCATCCTTAAATGTTTCTCATCATCAGGAAGCTGACATTTGTAGGGGAAAGTGTGAAGGGCAGGCTTGCTGGTTCTCTGGTCCAGGGGGAGAGGGAGGGTGGGGAGATCTGCAGGGGTCGCACAAGGTGTAATTCCTGGCTGCACAGGCTTCACCTGGTTCCCTTGTCTATCCTCCAGGGAGCTCTTGTGTTGTAATATCAGATATGTAGCCATTGTTTCATCGAAAGTTTGCACTTTTAAAGATTCCAGGACCTCATTAGGCTCATACCCCAAATCAGCCATGATGATTATGATAATGGGGTTTGGGAGACTGGGGAACTCCTCCAAGGAAAACTCAAGAGAAGGCACCTCACCTTGTGTGAGCCATGGGTGGTGCATGATGCGGTCTATAGTGGCCCTCTTACTGGGGTCCAGGGTGAGTAACTGGCCGATTACATTTAGCACGTTTGCAGAAAGATAAGATGGGCAATAGTATTTTACACACAAGATCTTCTGCTTTATCCCAGGATTGGTAGGTGCTTGAAAAGGGAGGCACCCTGTGGTCATAAAGTAAAGGAGGACTCCTAGGCTCCACATGTCAGCTGCGGGTCCATCATAGTCTTTTCCCTGCAGGAGCTCTGGGGCACAAAATGGGAGACTACAGAAGAAACCATGCAGCTTCTGCCCAGGGCTCACCTGAACGCCCAACCCAAAGTCACTGAGTTTGATGTTGCCCTCGCCATCCACCAGGATGTTTTCTGGCCTCAGGTTCCCATGCACCACACCTTTTGAATGACAGTAATGCACAGCGCTCCCAATCTGCTGGAAAAGCCGGCGGGCCTCCTCCTCCTGCAGGTGCCCATCCTCCTGGATCCTGTCCAGCAGTCCTCCCCCGCTCGCATATTCCATCACAAGGTAGGTGTTGACAGTGGTGCTGATTATCTGATAAAGTTGGATGACATTGGGATGACTAAGGGATTTCATGATGTCAATTTCGGATGTGACAATGGAGGAGGTCCTTGGCAGGACTTTCAACGCCACCTGAGTCTGGGTGAGGAGGTGGCAGGCGAGCTTCACTTCACCAAAGCTGCCTTGGCAGATAGTGTTCAAGATCTTGTAACTATTTCTGAGGGGTGCCTCATCGAAGGCTGTGACCTTGAAGTCCAACATCATCATTATCACGCCAATTAACAGTGCTAGGTTAAAAATTAAAACAATAGAAATCAGTTCTCAAACGTGATTCTAATTCCCACATTAGAAAGGCAGAGTGGGCAGTGCTCTTGCTACTTCCTGCCCAGCCCGTTGCACCTGCTGTGCACGTGGGGAAACGCGTTATCCTAACATAAACACATCTCAAACAGACCATTTAATGATGTTCCTGGAGGCCACAGAAAATCAAAACAAACCAAGCACCAAAGCAGTAGACTGAAAAAAAAAAAGAGCGGAGCAGAAGTGAAGAAAATGGGATATAAAGGAATAGGAAAGCTTGTAGAGATGGAGAGTTAACTGAGACAGAGTTGAGCTGAAAGCCTGAACCCAGCTCCCAGAGAACGTGAATAAAATAAGATAAGGCTACAGCATTATGGCTAATATCGCTGACATTCACAGCATAGGTGGGAATATTTTGAAAACCTACATTCCAACAAGCTGGAAAAGTCTGGAATAAAAGCTTTTTCTAGACTCACATAGCCCACCAACATCAAACCAAGAAGAAGAAAGCACCATATTGAGTATAAGCAATAAAAGCAAAATGGTGATTAAATAATCCCCAGCAAAGAAACCCCCAGGCACAAATGGATTCACTCAAGATCTGAAGACCTTTTACAGAAGGACCACACCAATGTCCAATTCCCTAAAGCAGAAATAGAAAGAGCCACCCTACACAGCCAGGATGATTCTGACATCAAAGTGAGAGATATAAGCAAAAGGGAAAATTATAAACCAATTTCCAGAACAAGTGTAGATGTGAAAATCCTTTACACCAAATACAAATTCAAATAACACATTAAGAAGGCCATACTTCGCCGGGCGGTGGTGGCGCACGCCTTTAATCCCAGCACTCAGGAGGCAGAGGCAGGCAGATCTCTGTGAGTTCGACGCCGGGCTGGACCGATAGCCTCCAAAACAATACAGAGAAACCCTGTCTCGTAAAAACCAAAAAAAAAAAAAAAAAAAAGGCCATACTTCATGAACTAAAATGAGTTCACCAAGTATCCTAAGGATAAGGATGTTGCAACATACACGAATTGTTCACACACACACACACACACACACACACACACACACACACACACGGACAGACAAAGGAGAGAAAGAGGTAATGGAATCAAGGACGAGACAGACACACTTAGCCATAAAGAATGACTGTCATTTCCAGGAAAATGGGTAGAACAACTAGAGATCATGTGTTAAAACCTGCATAGAGCTGGCCAGGTGGCTCAGGCAGTAAAAGTGCCTGCCACCAAGCCTGACCTGAGTTCCATCCCTGGAACTCACAATTGAAGGAGAGAAATAACTTCTAAAAAGTTGCCCTCCTACCTCCACATGTGTGCTGTAGTATATGCACAAACAGATACAAAAATAAACAAATGTAAAAAAAAATTTAAACTCCCAATACTGAGCCCTAAACTCCTAAACCCAAACCAAGAAGCCATGAAACAAGTTCACTGTCAAAGTCCAGCAGATCACCAGTGTTAAATCCAACAAATCACCAATGTCCAAGTGCACAACCCACCAGCCAACAGCTATCCAAACTGTAAAAGCCAGGCAGGGCCCATGCTTCTTATGGACAGGGGCCTTGCATTGCTCATAATGGCTCAATGTGATGTCAAAGCAAGAAACAGGCACACCCCACAGAGGGTTTCACAGCTTTCCTTCACCAGGGCTATATTAGGTTTCTCATCATTGTGAGCAAAAACCTGAAAAGAAGCAACTTATAGGCGGGAGGGATTCCTTGGACTCCTGCTTTGGGGGAACAGTGGAGACATGGTGGTAGGAACCACTAGCGCTTCAGGCAGAAGCTGGGGCTGCTTGAGGTGGCTAGTCAGAGTATGTTCCATCCCCCACGCCAGTGACCAGCCACCTCTCCAGGCTTCTATCGTTCTCAGGCACCACGTGCTGGGATCAACTGCCTCGACACAGAAGACATCTCAAATCCAACCCACTACAGAGACTTCCTAGTCTACCTGTGTCAGTCAGAACGCCAGTTGCTCCAGAGAGGAGGGTGTGTGAGAAAAACACACAAGCACTTGTGGAGGAGGGTTGTACTCACTGTTGAGCTGGGACATATTAGCACATTAACCGATCTGTTAGAAATTTAAGCCTTAGCCGGGCGTTGGTGGCACACGCCTTTAATCCCAGCACTCGGGAGGCAGAGGCAGGCGGATCTCTGTGAGTTCGAGGCCAGCCTGGTCTACAAGAGCTAGTTCCAGGACAGCCTCCAAAACAATACAGAGAAACCCTGTCTCGAAAAACCAAAAAAAAAAAAAAAAAAAAAAAAAAGAAAAGAAAGAAATTTAAGCCTTTTCTTAAAAGTGTGTTCATTTCTCATCTGGGTTCACCAAATGGCGGGAAGAGAAGCCTGGCACTGCTGTTACTTTGTGTTTCCTCTCCAGTGAGTGAACTGCTTCCTGGAGAGCACATTCGTTACTCAAGGAAAGCTGAAAGCAGAGCTAAGTCATTATTAAGTGGAGTGTTATTATTTTACAATAATACATATTTTATTAATATGCTATATTAATGTGCAGTAATATAATATTTTTATTTTTATCCATGTGCATGCATGTACACACCATCACTCAGGTGTAAGGTGAGAATTGGTTCTCTCTACCCACTGTGAATTCCTGAGATTGAACTCAGGCCTGCTGCAAACAGTTCTTTTGCATGCTGAGTCATGTTTCTGGCCACTGGTTTTCATGGGGGGGGCAGCAGAGCTCCAGTACTGTCTCTAGGGTTATCTAGGTTCAACTTGACTAGACCTGGAATCAACTGAGATACTTGCCTGTGGAAGGTCTCTGAGGTATTTCCTGGAATGGTTAACTGAGTGGGGACAACCCACCCCCTAAGCATGTGGCACCTTCTGGTGGTAGCGCAGATGCAAGAGGCCTGAAAGGAAGCTGCTGCTCCTTGCCTGCCCTTTGCCCCTCCGCTGCCGCCTCTGTTGTCCTCTTCTGACAGAGCACAGCTTCTCTGACATTCTGGTGTGGACTGACAGCCAGAGGCTCTCTAGGATTCCTCCAGGACTTCAGTACCAAGCTGTTGTAGACTATTAAGATGTGTTACATTTGTTTTAACGATGCAGTTGCTTAATTGTTGCATTCTTTCATGTTGCATTTGTTTAACTCTGAGAAGCTGTGTTACTTTGCCTGTCTAAAACACCTGGTGGTCTAATAAAGCGATGAATGGCCAATAGCTAGGCAGGAGAAAGAATAGGTGGGGCTGGAAGGCAGAGAGAATAAATAGAAGGAGAAATCTGGGAGGAGGAGCAAGAGAAAACAAGGAAAGGAAGACATAAGGGGTCAGTCACACAGCCAGCCACGAATTAAGAGTGAAAGAAAGGTATACAGAAATGAGAAAGATAAAAAAAGTTCAGAGGCAAAGATAGATGGGATAATTTAAGTTACGAAAAGCTGCTTAACTAGGACCCATACAGAAGTTTGGGATCTGGGCTAGAGCCTGCAGCTTGGATGGAGTCAGGGGGCCATGCCACATACAGATATGGGTGGCCTGTGCTGCCCACAGGGGCCAGGCTGCAGCTGAGGGTCATGTCTGGGTCAGTGACCCTGTATCTGTCAGTGTCTGGTTGACATATGTGGCTCCGTTTGCCACCAAGTGCCATGAAGAAGCCCAGGTTCAAACTAGCAATCCGAGTCTGGGTTGGTGACCGAGGACTAGGATGCATCCATATCTGAGTGGCCTGCGCTGCTACTCAATGATATGGCGACGTCTGGGCCTGGGCTGCAGCTGAGGGCCTTGTCAGGGTCCATGGCCCCACTGCGGCCAGGGTCTTTGCTGATGGCTGATGCTCCAGCTACCATTGAAGGCCAAGCAGACACCCAAGATCAAGGGCCAACTTGGTGTCTCAGGGCCATATGCCGCTGGGGGCAGTGGTGACATCTAGACCAGCTGCTGCTAAGGACCATGCTGTGGTCCATGGTCTTACCACGGGTGGAGTTTCACCTTAAGTCTGGGTCCTGCACTGCCACTAATGATCACATAGAGGCCCAGGGTTGGGGCCACAACCTGAGGACTTGGTGGTGTCCATCGACCAAATGGCTGTTGGAACCATGCCCGCCTGAGTGGCGGTTCCCTCTACACAGAGCCAGGATGTTGTCTGGGCCTAAGCTGCATACAAAGGCCATGTATGGGGCCATGGTCCAGTCAAAGCTGGGGTCTGTGTTAATGACTGTGGCCAGTGGCACCTCAAGAGGCCTTAGGAATCATGTGAGATGAAATCAGAGAGTTATACTGAGCCAGTCCTGTTCTTACTGCCCTGGGAAAGCTGCTCTTACCTCTGGATGCCCAGTACAGCAAGAGAGCTGGCTCCTGCACTCTGGAGAAAGGGCCCCCACCTCTTACCACAGGTGAGGATGAACCTACCCTGAGGGCATGTATGTAGGGGAGCTGACTCTGCCACTACACCTGAGGTGTGTGGCCCCAGTGGCTCTCTCTGACCTGACTGGCTAACACCCGGGCCCACAACTGAGCCCTGCATTGACCCACCCCAGCATCTGTAAAGGAACTGGTTCTGCAGAAAGATACAGCAAGATCTCCAAGACACAGGAGAGATACCCCAGAAGAGCTCTGGTGAAGATCAAGTGATGATGGTGTACCTAAAACCAGAGGCCTGAACCAGACCAGTGACTCATTGCAATCGACAGTAGCCAGTCAAGCTGATGGAACAAAGGGGTGTTCTATATGACACACTGAAGCCTCCAATGACAGCAGGATGCATGGAGAGGTGATGGAGAGGCAGGAGGGGAGAAGCAGAGATTTTGTTTTGGGTATGGTTTGTTATTAGTGTTCTGTTTTGTTTTAATGTTTTTTTTCTTTTTTGTGTGTTCTTGCTTTTGTTCCCTTGCTCGCTTACTTTGTTTTGTTTTCTTTCATGGGGGAAATGCAACAGGGGTGAGGGGGTATGGGGGGACCAGAAGGAGAACAGAATTGGGGTACCTGATGTGAAACCCCCAAAGATTCAAGGAAGAAGTTGCAAAAAAGGGGAAAAAGGCTGGTTAGAAACAAGCCAAACTAAGGCTGGGCACTTAAAAGTGATAATAAGACTTCATGTGGCTGGTCAGTGGTGGCACATGCCTTTAATCTCAACACTCAGGAGACAGACACAGGTGGATCTCTGTGAGTCTGAAGCTAGCCTGGTCTACTGAGTGAGTTCCAAGACAGCCTCCAAAGCTACTGAGAAATCCTGTCTCAAAAAAACAAAAGGAAAGAAAAAGAGAAAAAGATGTTGTAAGGATTTATCTGGGATCTAGGTGGCAGGCCTCCAAAAGAGTTAAAGAGCAAAAGAGTAGAACGACCAATAACACCAGACTGGGACGTCTAACCCTAACCCTAACCCTAAGCCCGTGACCGCTCAGGCACCCAGCTTTGAGGACTGAAAAATTACCAAATTCCCAGACTCTCCAGTGTGTGAGCAGCCATTTTGGGACTACTGATCAGTTTTCACGTAAGCCAGTCTAACACATGTCCATTGCCATATATAACCATTGTACCGTGCTGCTCCTGTAGAGAACCCTGAGTACCACTCCCAGGGCAGGGCCATACCCTGGAGCTGCACAGTTGAAGTATGCACCTTTGACCCGGGCGTAAGCTCAGCCATGATCCCTCTAAGATGAGAGAGGGAGGGTCAGTTATGCTGTTGGCTCACTGGCCTTACATGGAGGACTTTTTCTTGGTGGAAGCGCTGAGAAAGAAAGAAGAGAGGGGAGCGAAGAGACTGGCCTCTGGAGATTGGAGTGGCAGAGGAGAGGAAGAGAGGCAGAGAGAGACAGGAGGTGGGCTGGGCCGCCTTATAAGAGGGGACACAGCTGATAGCATTGCGGGACCCTAAGCAGGTCAGAGCACTGCCTGAGTACTGGCAAGCACACCCTGCCAGGTGACGGGCGGAGCAGGCCAGCACAACACCTGATGCTAACGACAGTAACAGTAAAGTACAGATTTATTAAAAGAAAGTAAAGGCTGGAGAAGTGGTTCATTCACAAACGTGCTTATCAGGCAAGCATGAGGATCAGAATTCGTAAGTACTGTCCTCATGCTTGTAACCCAAGGCTGGGGACATTACGGTATCTAGATAGACTTAGAAGCCTTTGAAGATGATGGACTCCACCCTCACCCTCCATTTTGGACTCAACCCTGTGTTTCCTTGGTAACACTGGAAAGGAAAGCATCACAATCGCCCCTTCTTAGGCCCTAAAATGACATGTGTAAAAGTGGAGGTATAAGGGCTTTGTTGAGGCCCATCAAGAGAAGATCACTTTCTCCAGGGCAAAAGAATAAATTTTGAGTCTACCCCTAGGCAAGTGGAGAGAAGATATTCACAAAACATTGCATATTATTGTCCCTCATAAGAGTTAATTCAAGTGGGCCCTGTCAATCACCCTGGCAGGGCCACTCCTCAAGAATGAGGATTCACTTGAAGACATGCTCAGATAGGAGGAGTAGTTATCCTTTTACGAGAAAAGGTACTCACGGATCTTCATTATTAAACCTGCTGCAAGCATAACTCTTCCTTCTCATTAAATCTTTCTCAGATACCAACCAAAAGCTTAGACATGCTTTCCCTGTTGTCCTGAGCGTTTTCCCTGAGTATGAATGGCCCCTCCAGCCTCCTACAACTGCTCGCTTGAAGCATTAATCTAATTGATCTTATCAATAAAAACTCAGGAGTCAAACATTGGGGTAAAAACCTGAAACATCAGAGAAGAAGCGGAGCAGCCACAGTTGTTTCCTGCCTCCTCTGTTCCTCCATCCAAAAGGGCTTATGTTTTCTCTCCACTCCACCTTATCACCCTGTCTCCTCTCTGGACACACCTCCAGGCCTCTATGACTAACTAGTGGTTAGCTCCACCCTCTGACTCCAAGCAAGCTTTGTTTGTCAGAACACAAACAAAACATCACACACTTGCTCATTTCCATGCCTGATACAAAGCATAACTTTCTTTGTTCTCAGTCTCCCACCTCTGGGCGGCTGCCAGGATTTTCAGCTTGCCTGCACTGTTGTTTTTCTCTCAAAATCTAATAAAATGATCCTGAAGGTATCTTCTGAGTTCATTGTTAAATTTTCTCATCAATGAGACAAAGAGAAAGAATCCACAAAAGCAAACTTGATGACCTGGTAATTGGGAGGAAGAAACAGATCGCTGGGGCTTGCTGGATAGCCCAAGCTAGCTCTAATAAGCACCAGGACAGCAAGAGACCCTGGTGGTTTCGAAACCCAGAGTGTTGGCAGCACATGAAGAAAAATGACACCTGATGCTGTTCCCCACCTCTACTCTCACATACAGACAGGGAGAGAGCATAGAATATGGAATACTGGTCGGAGTAGAGCAAGCATGAGGCTCAAAGGGTTACCTCTGGGTCAGGGTCTTAGAAGGGACGGAACTCCCTGGAAGGGACATCTTTCTCAAGTTTTCAGATGTGACCGGTTCCCTTTGATAGGTGAACAGTTCTGGGGTTGGTTCCAGACAGCTCTCAGTTTTTTTTTTTTTTTTTCTTGCTGGGTCCCAGAGTTAACCTTATGATTCACTGACCTAGGGAAGTGGACCATTCCTTCATGCTTTGTCTGTCTGCTGATTGTGTGTTCCCAGTAGGCTGGCAGCACGGTAAGAAGGCATTCTCCTTGTTTATAGACTAGAGGCTTAAACTCCGGGCCTTCTTTACCTAGGCTTCATCTAGTGAACAGAGCGTGATGGGGAAAAGCCCAGGAAAAACACACGGACAAGGTGACTTTGTAAATGTCCTATAGAGGCCATGCCCCTGGAGGTCTAACTGAGGGCTTTCCCCTCAGTTTACTAGCCCACTACTATTCTGGAAAGTTCCATTGTCTTAATAAACTGTCTCTATTTCTGTTTCTAACCGTGCGTCTTTGTTACCATCTTTTATTCTGCAACATGACTCAGGAGCCTGGGATGGGGTACCTCTGAACTCCACCTGCATACCTGCACTGGGCATGCTTGCCAAGAGCAAGTGTATACTTTCCCCCAGCATTCTAAGCCTCCTCACTGGTTCTCAGACCCCACATCTGACTTAAAAGACATGGCCTTTTCTGTACGTCTGCTCCTCCCGGTGGCTGCCAGGATTTTCCACTTGCTTCTCCTGTTTTCTCTCAAACTTTAATAAAATTGTCTGGGGAAGGGGGATTTCCTTCCACTTCCATTTAAAAATATTGGATTAATGAGAGGTTCAAAAAGAGACCCCTGCTTCCCTGGTAACACTGCCACTGCCACTATATTTCCTGAAAAATCCTCTTAAACCACATTTACTGGAACAAGCCATGAGGGCCTCACTCTCTCCTACCTGTTAGCAGGCACTGGACACCAGTTATAAATAATACAACAACACGCCTTCACGCATGAGTCTCCCTGCCTTGATGACTTCCTGACACCAAAGTACAGGAACAGTTTTGAAGAGTCCCTAAAGGAATCCCCACATTGTTGTTGTAGGGGAAAGATTTGATAACACTGTAAAGATGAGTCTCTGTCCTTCCTTGCCTGGCTAAGGTACCTTCTGATTGATTTAATAAGGATCTGAACAGCCAATAGTAAGAGCAATATCTGCTCTTAATTCCTTAGCCACTCCTCTAGCACCTATAAAAAGTTTTTAGTTCGCAAATTTTATTATGTTTCAAAAAACAAACAACTCTCTGGGGCTGGAGAGATGGCTTAGAGGTTAAGAGCACTTGCTGCTCTTCCAGAGGACCAGAGTTCAGTTCTCATGGAACTTACTACACTCTGTGACCCTCCAATACTTCCTTCCTTGTTGGCTTGACTTTGCTGAGGATCATATAAAACTTTATTTGCCTTTTGGGATCACCCCAAACTGCCTCCTCTGAGGCTTATTTTCCATGTCTGCCTTGCTTCATTTCCTACCTTCCAACCAATTCTCTTTCATCCTGGCTACCTTCCCCCCTCAAGACCTTTTAGTAGTCAACAGGCAAAAAGATGAAAGCTGAGTTCTGGCTCCCACACGTAAGGACCTCAAGTACCCCTGGACTTAGAAGGAAAGTATAGGCATGTCTGGAGTGACCTGTAAGCTTCCCTACAGTCCGGAGGAAGGCTGGGAAGACTCTCCCATTTGGTTAGAGGTCTTCTCAGGTTGAAGCAGAGGCAGGCAGAGACCTTGTGGCAGATTTCCCCAGGTCCTCGAAGCTGCCAGGTGATTCCTCTGAAGATGATATCATACCTGACAGCATCAGCAGGTGAAGCTGTAGGAAAGGTAGCACATCCAGGGATTCCAACCATAAAACTGGGAAAGATCTGTAAATCATGGTTTCAACTTTTGTAGCTGAATAATGTAGGAAATCCAAAGAATCCAGGATTAAGTCAAAACTGCAAGTAAATAGTAATTGAAAGGCAGTGAACTAGAATCTTCATACACTGCAGTTTTCTTCTCTTCAGTTTCCCCAATTTATTTGTAAGATCTTGAGGAAGTATAGTAAGAATGGTCACTGGCCACACAAGCTGGGTTTATCTGCACACACCTTTAGTACTAGCACTCAGGAGGCAGAGGCATTGCTTCAGAATTCCAGGCTAACCTCATCTACATAGAGGGTTCCAGGACTGTCCCAAAACAAAAACAAAAACAAAAACTTAACTTTTACTTGTGTGTGTGTGTGTGTGTGTGTGTGTAAATCATATTGTGCAGTTGCCCACTGAGGCCAGAAGATGACGCTAGATCTCCTGGAACTGGAGCTGAAGTTACAAATGATTTCCAGCTGCCTGCCATAGTTGCTGGGAACCAAACTCACGTCCTCTGCATCCCCAACCTAGGCTTAAATAAAATCTGGCTTGCTGAGAGTTACAAGACTCTCAAGAGTCAAAGGAACACTATCAGAGTTGACTTGTGGAAACTTGGATGAGTTTTCTGAGGCCCTCATGAAAGGAGATTCCTACAGGCTGTTGGGGGATGTCATTCTTTACTTACAAGAACCCCAATATAACAAAGCCACTTTTCCAGGGCCACCTGTTGACCTGTTTTCTTTAAAACTTTCTGCTCACATTAGATAGGACATTCCAGTTTGTGGTTTGAATGTGAAATGTCCCCATAGGCTCATGGAGTTCAACTTTGCTTACCAGCCAATGATGCTATTTTGCAAGGCCTTAGAACCGTAGGAGGTAGAGTCTCACTGTAGGACTATCTCATGTACCTGTCATAATGCCTTCCTTGCCACGATGGACTGTTTCTCTTCAAACTGTAAACCAAATCAATCCCTCCTGCTTCCAGTGTTCTGTTAGGAAGCCTTTCTAGGCATAGCGGTGCTAACCTATAATCCCAGCACTTGAGTTGGAATTGCAGCTACCTATTGAGTTCAGACCAGCCTGGGACACATACAGAAAGACCCCATTTCAAAACAAAACCCATGTGGACACTGGGTGCTGGCCATCATTGGTAAATAACAGAACATTGTAAGCAGCTGCATCTCAGTGAGTTGCTCTTGTTTCAATTCCCTTATAGTTGAGTTGGGTTTCCTAGTATTTATATGGAGAGGGCCTAGCTTAGTCCCACACAGGTTCCTTCTTGCCTCTGTATGTTTCCACCAATCACTGGATGAAACCTCTGATGATTATTGGGCTAGGCACCCATCTGAGGGTCAGGATGCTGGTTTGGACTCTAGGGGGTAGGAGGCTTCTGCCAAAGGTGAGGGTTAGGATAGATTCAACTCTCATCGATTGTTATTGCTTATGAAGACACATGGCAGTTTAAATACAAATTATTGGGGCTGGAGAGTTGGCTTAGTGATTAAGATCATGTACTACATGAACTGTTTTTCCAGTAGACTAGAGTTCCATTCCTAGCACCTATGTCAGATGACTTACACTCACTTGTCAGCCAGGTGTTGTATACCTTTAATCCCAGCACCCTGGAGGCAGAAGCTGCTGATATCTGAGTTCGAGGCCAGCCTGATCTGCACAGTGAGTTCCATAACAGCCAGGGCTACACAGAGAAAACAAAACAATCACTTGCTAACTCCAGTTCCAGGGAATCCAACACCCTGTTCTGGCCTCCACAGGTACATGAATATATCACACACAGACACAGTTACAGATATAATTATTTGTAGAACTTAGTACTGTGTAATACCCATCATTCTTTTCTGTTTTTAGTTGAGTGCACCACTCCTGCCAACTGCTCTGACATGCCATGTGTCTTGCTTTATACGGGTGTTCAGGTTTCTTGAGCCCATCAATGAGTAATACCAGGCAAAGTCTGTACTATCAGTAATACCTTATGATTAAAATTTTACCTGAAAGCATGTTTTGCTCATTTTGTGTGAAATCTACAACACTGTTGTCACACCTCTCAAATCTGACCAGCTCCATGATTTGGGCTCTTTTTAAAGCATTTAAATAATTTAAAATTATTACTAATACTTATTTTGGGGGTTGGAGAGATAGCTCCATAGTTAAGGGTACTGGATACTCTTCCAGAAGACCCAGGTTTGATTTCTAGAACTCCCATTGCAGCTTACAACCGTCTTAACTCCAGTTCCATGGGATCTGACATCCTTTTCTGGCCTCTGTGGGTACCAGGCATTCATATGATACAGTCCTTCATGCAGGCAAAACACTTGCATACATATCTTTATGTATGAGTGCCTACATGTATGTGTGCCACCTGAAAAGGGCAAAAGACTGGAGTTAATAGGCATGGGTGCTGGGAATTGAACCTGAGGCCTTTGCAAGAATCTAACCACTTGGCCATCTCACCAGCTGTTTTTGGCTCTGAACTAAATAAGATTCACAGCTCTCTACACCTCCACATCTCAAAACCACGCCTTTATGTATGGGTGTTGTACTGGTAGTTTTATGTCAGCTTGACACATGAGAGTCATCACGAGAGAGCCTGAATTGAGAAAACGTCCCATAATATCAGGCTGTAAGTAAGCCTATAGGACATCTTGTTAATTACTAATTAATGCAGGAGGGCATAGCCCATTATGGATGGATGGTACCATCCCTGGAAAGGTGGTTCTGAGTTGCCAGTAAGGAGCACTCTTCCATGGTCTCTAATATCAGCTCCTGCCTGAGTTCCTATCCTGGCTTCCTTTGATGATAA